TTGCTGTGACCCCCTAGGAAAAGGTTATGCCCCGCCCTGTACTGTCAAATTACCAAAAACCAAGGCATGTAGCAGATAATTCTGTTCCTTATAAGATCATTATTACATTTTATCATGTCGTAACATTGCCTTTAGACTGTTACACAAGAAATTGTGTATATATTTCTGCCAGAAAATGTATAGCAATGGTAATAATAAGGGAGTCCAGTTATTTGTAGGAAATAAATGCACTCAAATAAAATATATCTTTGTTGAAAAACTCTCATAATTCCATTTGTAATTCCTGTAGCTGCAAGCTTGAAGAAAACCCTACTACTAAATTTTGTGCAGGTTTTTCTTTACAACTTTTACTTAGGTTGTATAGAAGAATGACAAATATCCATGAGGTTTTAAAATCTATATTAAAATTGATATTTGCACACACATACAGATTATCAGTGTGTATCTATCATATATCTGTTTCTGAAATACAAATAATGCATCAGAAATCTAGCCATGTCTGATATTTTCTGATATATTTCATGTTTTCAATAGATTAGGCTTTGCATGCTTTGAAAATTGTTCAAAAGAAATGCTTGAGACTTTGAACATAGCTTTTTCTGTTATTCATTAAAACAGTCTAGCTATTTTCAAACTCCCATTGCTCCAAGGAATCCCTTCATTAAAATTAATGTAACCCTTAAAACATATTTGAGATTTGTAATTAAATATTCTTAAATAAATCTTAAATATCTTCCACCAAAACAGGATTTGGAAGTATTTAACTATTCATATTATAAACTATAAGTTAGGTGTAAAAACAGTATTCATTTCAATTAATAAATATATTTTTCAGAAAATAATTGAATCTTGAGTCCATATAGCAAAATGTAGAGGATTAAAGTGAGAAAAAATAACATTTTGTATTTCTACATATTGATGAACAGGCTGAACCTAGGATGCAGGGTCAAATGCATCATCAGTTTGGAGTCTGTGCTCCAATAACAGGCCCAAATCTACACCACCCCCTCCGCCAATTGAATTCCATTTACTTATCTGGCACCACTTTGCCTTGACTATTAGTAGTTCAGATTCTTGCATACAGGTAGAATTAAATAAACATAATACTTTTGAACTGTATCCTGGTTTCTGATTTCTTGCACTTGATATTAGTTTGGTTACATACTTGCTTTTTATTATATTCATTTTATATATTATAATATTGTTATATTTAATTATATATGATATTATTTGATTATATACTTCTGAATACTTCATTGAAAAGCAACATTGCTATTTGGTATTTAATTCTGAATAAGTAGGTAGGCGGATGATAGGATGGAGCAATACCATAGATCCATGATGGCGAACCTACAGCACCTGTGGTGGTATGCAAATCATTTCTGAGGGCACGTGAGGTGTTGCCCTGTTAGCTCCAGCGCACATGCGCATGCTGCCCAGCTGATTTTCAGCTGTTTTTTTCCCTCCGAATGCATTCATCACTGCCATACATGGGCGATGTGATGTGATGTGACTTGCTGGGAAAAAGGCATTTCTAATTTATTGGTGAAATAAAGTCAAGCTATTCATAAATCAATATTTATTCTACCACAGGTCCTTCATTCTGTTAAACAATTTAAAATTAATTATTCATTGTTGTTATTTGATGATAATATGCTTTTACCATTGTTGATTTATCTTGTATAGTAGCGGTAAATAACATTTTCCCATTTTTTATTTTTAATATTNATATATATGAATAATATATAAAATAATGCGCTAGCTGCAAAAATAATATATTTTTTGCAGCTAGCGCATTTTCACAGATGTAACTGAGTCATTTGATTTTCTAAATCTTTCTTCCTAATATAGAATCAGTCAGTTATTTTACAGAGTGCATCTGTGTCACTTTGTAAATATCTAGAGCCATTTCAAAATGAATATGTTTCATAAGTATTTGTTTACATAGTCTATATCTCACTGGCCTTGATTGGGCTCACACATTTTATTCTGAAGTTCAGCCATAATTACATGTGTTTGCAAGATAGGCTAAACTCAGTCAGAGAGTTTGTTTTCTGAATGTCTTTCCTGCCCTCTAGCTGTTGGCTTGGTTTTTACAGCCCAGGTCAGGGAAAACAAAGAAGAGAAATTCTAACAGAAAAAGTGTAATACGATAATAAGAAATAATTCAAAAGGAGCTCTTCACAGTGACACACGCCCTGAACTTCAATAACTGTACAGAAGATGAAGAACATGAGAAGTGAGTCAAATCACTTAAAGGGAGATATGGTGTTAGGAGTAACTGTTATACAGAGGAGAAATGTGGAATATAGAGGAGCATGGTGGAATACAGATTTTAGTTAAGCCATATGAGCTCCACAGGCTGGGCTTTATTTTATAGATATTAATACAAAATACTAATAGACTGTAATCTTAAGAAAAGAAATAATAAATACAGATAGTAACTTGAGGAAGCTGCCTTCCTTTTCACTCCTGGAGTATATTTACCTGGTAGTTAAATAAAATCCCACAATAGCTATTCTTAAAACATTCTTGCAGTTTGGTCTGGGTGTTGAAAAAATATGCATTGGTGGGATACAGGTAGTCCTCTTCAAAGTTACAATGGCATTGGAAAAAAATGACTTATGACCAGTTCTCACACTTAAGACTGTGACAGCATCCCTATAGTCACATGGTCAGATGCTTGTATGTATTTACAATGGTTAAAGCTTTCCAGGGTCATGGAAAGCTGTAACTGTAATTTGCAATCTTACTAGGTGCTTCTGACAAGCAAAGTTGATAATCTGGGGGAGCCAGATTTCTTAACAATCAGATGATTCACTTAACGTAAGAGCCGAGGTGGCGCAGTGGTTAAATGCAGCACTGCAGGCTACTTCAGCTGGCAGCAGTTCTGCAGTTCGGCTGTTCAAATCTCACCGGCTCAGGNCCTTCCATCCTTCCGAGGTGGGTAAAATGAGGACCCAGATTGTTGGGGGCAATAAGCTGACTCTGTAAACCGCTTAGAGAGGGCTGGAAAGTACTGTTAAGTGGTTTATAAGTCTAAGTGTTATTGCTACATAGATGTAAGATTTCACTTTTGAAATTATGTCACTTTTTTGCATTTAAATTTAGAATCATTAATCATCAAATTAGATTTCCTTTAAAAGATAGTGTCAACCATTTGAGGTAGGCTGGGCCAGGAAACAGTAGAACATCTACTTTATTAATTTAGGCTATAAGAATAGAGTTTCTCCTTCTGCTCCTCTTAAACACAGGAAAGCCAAGTCAGGGCAGTGTGGACTTTCTCCATTTCTTCCTGTCTCTCTGAGTGAAATGATGTTTTTGTAAGGGCTGTCTCATATATCATAGATATTCCTGTACAGATAAAAGTAGGAAGCAATATGCTATGCCAAGGCAGCAGACAGAACCACAGTACAAAGGGCTTCTGGAAAAGGGCTCCATTGTTTGACTATAAGTCCATAATCCAAACTATAATAGATTCTTAGTAATACTAACAGTCAAATTTTCACAATAGACAGATGGATAGAAATAGCTTAACCTCATTCAATAAATTCAATGATTCAATTAAATATGTAAAGAAACTCACCACTTAACAGTTGTTTGCTTACTGACTATTCAAAGTTACAACAGACTCTTCCAAAAGCTAATCACAACTTGATTCCGCAGTTCCAATAGTATTTTCAATGCTTGGCAACTTCATTTTTATGGTTCATTTTTATGGTTCATTTTTATGGTTGGTTGCAGCATTCTACAGTCACATAGCAATGTTTTTTGCTGGCCTTTTTTGGCTTATTTGTGGCAAAAAGTGCTGATAAGAATGACTCATTCAATGACTGCCATAAAAAGAGTTATAAAATAAAGGCAGGCCCATGGGTGCTTTGATTTATGACCATCATGACTTAAGGATGAAAATTCTGGCCTAATATGGTAGTAAGTCAGGAACTTGATAAAAGTCCGCTTTTAAAATACCAATGTGATTTTGCTCATTTACTTACAACTTATTTTAATGAGAATTCTTCTATTTCAGGACCAAAAGTTTTCGTGGGAAAAAAGTCCATGGAGAATATGACATCAAAGTCGAGCAGGTATTAAAAAAAGATTACTGTCTTATTACTCATACAATTTTTCTTAGCGTTAAGTATTATTTCAGAGTATTAAGAATGGAATAAGTTGGCACCTTATAAAACTATTTTTGACCCAGTGTAAATAATGAAATTATATAATACAGTGAATAAAATATGAATTTATTGAGGCAGTAATAAAATGTTTTTAAGAACACTTGACAAGGATTTTCTTTAACATAATTGTTTTAAACAATAGCTTTAAGTCTGTTTTCTGGTCATTTGTAAATGCAATATTATATTCTTCTATTAAAGATATTGGCGTTTATTAAGGCAGTGAAACTTTTAATAAATTCATATGCCTTACTGTCACTTCTAATATAGATATTTCAGAAAATATTCATAAACTTGATGGGATTTTTTTTTACTTTTCAAGAAAATGGTTTTTCTCAAACATAATTGCATTATAGGCCACATATGGACAAAACTGTTGGGGTGTAAGTGATGTAATGGATCTTAGAAATGAACATTATTAGTTGGCCAGTGACTTTTTATCACTTTTGCTCACTCTTCCTATGAGATCAAATGCAAGTTGCTCCTTTCTTGTTTTCATATAATTTGTTCAGGTAGATTTACTTGTAGGAGAAGAGAAAGAAAGATACATTTTTAATTCTTTTTTAAATCTTGCTCTTTCTTTACTTCCACAATTTGTTTTTCATGTAAATAGGATCAAAACCATATTTCTGTTCCAACATCTAACAGCTTTTAATGCAGCAGATAAAATTGTAGTCAACCACTCCCAAATATTAGAAGAGCAACATAATATTTTTTTATTGTGCCTATAATTACCTTTTTTCATTTGATTATTTTTGTTGCACAAATACATTTTAATTAAAAGAATATGCCTACTTATGCCTATTTACTTAGGGGTTTAATATAATCATCATATTTGCTTGGGGGGGGAATGAAGATAATTGTAATGACATGGTATATTGCTTTCAGTTTTTGCTGATTTAATTAATATTGATTTGCAAGAGAAATGAATGGAATAGATGGTTTAAGAGGTGTAAAAAAGAAATATAAGATAGGGGAATGAATGAATCCAAGAATGGATTCATGGAGAGAAGAGCTAAAGCTGAAGATCAGGGACTATCATGCTGGCTGAATGCTCACAAAACTAGCAGATTGCTGGGGAAACAGTGAATGTGGAAACCTCCAAATGTAGGAACAACAAAAGGAATAACTGGAACTACCATATACCAGTTAACCAGTGAACCAGTGCCAGGACCCTTAGGAAAAACCCTTGGCGTTCAGAGGTGGGTTGCTCCAAGTTTGGCTCGGTTCGGCCAAACCTATAGTGGAATTCAGGCCTGGGTCACAGAACCGGCAGCAACCCAGGTCTGCCATGCCCTTGAACCAGTTCCCTCACCACTGCTGGGCTGCTGCCATTTTGGTTTTTAGTCACTGTAAATTTACATTAACCAATGCACACACGCGCAATATGCATCTACCATTCATGCAGGGGTTGCAAACCAGTAGTAAAACTGACAGCAATCTACCCCTGTTGGAATTCCTGACATCTGTAACTTCTGTGGCCAGGCATATTTATGGAAGCTGTTGCTAGGCTGGCAGCTACAGAGAGAGGAAACAAGAACGTAGTTTCCATTATTGGCACTTCCTCTATGTAAACAAACACAATCCTTAGGATTAGCTGTTGTGAAGCCAGTCAAATCATGCATGGAATCTTCTACCAGGAATGGGTGGAAATGTTCTACTGAAGATAGATGAGTGTAAAAATATTTCTTTAAGAGTGCCTCTTTTAAAAGGGACATAGAAAATTTCCACCTATTCCTGGTAGAAGATTCCATGCAAATTATGAGGAATGTGGATGAACTTTTGGAAGGTAGTTTTAGAGCTATAAATAAAAATTGTGTGCCACTGCCAAACAATTAGGGAAATATGTTGGAAGGGTAGGTTCATTAGAGTCATGCAGCTTCCAGAATGAATGAATGAATGAATGAATGAATGAATGAATGAATGAATGAGCAAACGAACAAATGAATGAATTCCTTCATTCATTCTTTTCTGGGTGAGAGTTGGAGTTTGGCTGCAGAATTATTCTCCCTGGACCAAAAGGATTGAAACAAGGAAGTTGCAGGGTGAAAAATGGGCAAGGGAAAGGATAGCTTCAGGGTGTACCTTTGCCAGCATGGGACAAGTGACATTAAACAGATCATTATAGACAATGGATGGAAGGATGGGGCCCAACTGCTTTGGGGCATTTCAGGCTCTAATTGCTCCTTTTGAATAGCAGTTCTGCCTGTAGCAAATCTGCTTCTCATCCACAACTTGATCATGAACGTATGGGTAGATCTACCAAGAGATTTGACTTTTTAAAAGTTAGTTAAAGTTTAAAGTTAGTGATGATAGTAATTTTACAATACATTTTATGACACCTTTGTTCATAATATAAACATGTAAAATTTTCTTTTGTACATGACAACATCCCATAAATATTTATTACTTATTGAAGACATTTCCACTTATACATTCCTTCTACTTTTCATATGAAAAAAACAGGTCCAGCATTATTCTGTTCTCTAAATCTGTAACAATGCCTGTAAGAAAACATGCATAAAATAATACTTTAGAACTTTGCTAGATGCTATTTCCTTGTTCAAATTTCATATGTTCAAAGATGTTACATGTAGACTAGCACCTTAAAACTAGTTGGTTCATTTATGTATTTTTTAATCTTTCAGGCACAATTTTCAGAGGTCAGTTTGATAGCTCAGGCTGATGGGAATTATTCTGTAAATGTGCAAGCTTTTCGAAATGGCATTAAAGTTGTCAAGTAAGTTATTTTACTTCTTTTGACTTTCAGAATTAAGGTTAACATAAATAAATACAAAACATGATCATGAATAACATTTTTTAATAGAAATAGAATCTGTTGAGGGTTTGTCCATGTTTTAAAGCCAAGGTACATCCAGGTCCATGGATGATGTAATTAAGGTGTTTATTCATCTTCTTGATAAATTCATAAGTAGAAAACAGCCAAAATATCCAAATAGCATCTCACTTTGTTCTAATTCATGTGAGATTTAGGCTAACAGGTTTATCTACTGGACAGTATATGATTATCAAGAACTGGCATAGCTTGATGGCACCAAACCAATCTGTTATGTTAACTAGGAGTTTTTGTCCACGTCTTTTTCAAGAAAACTATGCTATTTTGTGCTGCTAAATTTCTCTTCCTCAGTTTCATGTATGCAAGTATGATTTAAAAAATAGAAAAACATCTTTCAATATTCCTGATTACAAACTTGCAAAATCTTAGAATGCGTATAATTGCTCTAGAGAGACTCTGAATGAAACAGTTAAAGAGTTATTGGTTTTTCTCTTTGGTGAGCACTAATAGGTCATTGAAGGCCTATTTGAACAGAAGTAGATGTTATATGTGAAACAAGGAGTGATAAAGCAGAAGTTCTAAATTAGTATCCAGTGTTAAATTTTTTCCAGATCTCACAGATAGCAACAAATTGAATGTTAATATTTTTTCATCCTAGGAAAGAAAATTAGGGAAGAGAATAAGCTTTACAACAAACAGACCTTTAAATTATGACTTTAACATCACTCTTTATCATTTTCATTTTACCCTCAGCTCAGGATAAAATTTATCAGTTACTGGTTTTGGTCATGTCCCTTCAGAAGTGTCAGCATACACTAGTATATCAAAACAAACATTCTGGCTTAGATAACAGGAGCCTCACCCTCTAACCACCTATAAAATGGTAGCCTTCAAAAGAAATTGCCTGAATTCCTTTTTTTTTCAACCACCTTCTAACATTTTTTTTTCATGACTGCTAGTTAGTGAACCTTCTTTCTTTACCAACACAACCAATAACTACAAATGAAGTTAAATAATTGTATACTTTCTCCCAGCCTTTATTCTTTTATTTGAGAGGAATTTTTCATTGTACTGATGAAAAATTATCACCTCAGCAAAATAAAAACATATAAAAAGACACTATTCACCACAAGAGAAATTGTAAGAGTGCCCTATTTGTAACCCCCATAGCTCTAGTAAATTTCTAATATATTTGTTTGCTTGCTATTAAACTCAATTCTCTTTAGGTCATTCAAGCCTGACTTTGTTCTTGTCCGGCAACATTCGTTCAGCATGGCCGAAAATGAAGATTTTCGTAACTTAATTATTGGAATGCATTATGCAAGCATCCCAAGTGTTAACTCTCTAGAGTCAATCTTCAACTTCTGTGACAAGCCCTGGGTAGTAAGTAACAAATCATAATTCAATAATCATACATTTCATTGTATAATTGAAGAATAACACATTTGAATGTCAAATTGGAAGAAGGAAAGCAAAATGAGTACTATTTAGTCCAACGTTTGCCCCTGTGCACATGCAAATGTTTATTAAAAGATTTACATTTGGATTGCATCTCAAAGTCTTATAGATATATTATATATCTTATATAGATATATTCCTTGATGCTTTTTAATTACTATGCATGTTTAATGCTTAATATCTTAACGATTAATATTCATAATCTTTGCTTCATTTTCTTGCAGCTTTTTTTTACTACCAAGTTTCTCAAAAATTTGCAGATAAAAGAACTGTAATCGGTCTTGTACAAAATTAGTGAAGTAGCTATTATTAATGAAAAGTGCCTGTTCAGAGAACATGATGAAATAATAAACAGTGGGTAAGGGAGCTGAACAAACGTACCTTAAAAAGGGTACTACAGCTTAGCTAGATTGCACCTCCCAGGTTTCAATTTTTTTATTTTTCTGGATGATAATACTATAAACACAAATAGGAGAATCTGTATGAAAAACTGTATGTACAGTAAGTGTGACTAATCTCTCCATTGCTTCTCCTTGCAGTCTCTCTTTGTTCCAATGCAAATAAAATCACTTCTGCATGTAGAAAGTTAATGTGAGGTTATAATTTTTTTCCTGCTGGCATTCAAGACAAAACCTGCCAGTTCTCTACCTTAAGAGGTTTAATGTGTTATTCTTGCTATTGTTAAAAAGGCTGCAGGCATTTGCAATAACTGAACATTTTATCTTTTAAAATCAAAATACTTTTATCTTTTACCCAATCCTTTGCATAAAGAACCAGTTTTCCATATTTTTAGAGTAAAAAACCCTACAGTTCTAAAATACTCTAACATGACATGATTAAAATTATGATTTTAAAAATGTAAAATTAGCAAGAGATACAATCCTTGTTAAGCCTAAATGGCAGTTACATCTAAATGTTCATTCTGTCCCCATTTTTTTTATTTCACTGCTGGATAGTTTTCTCATAGCATTCACCCAAAAAGTCTATTAAGCAAGTTCATTACAGATACCAGAGTTTGGGACCGTTTAAGGATTTTCTCCAATTGCTCTCAGCCTAGAAGTATTACTTAGGGCAAGAGCCAAAGTTGAGAAAAATTCCTATGTTCCCAGTTTGACCCAGAATGGCTTCTTATCCGAGCCTTGTTCTGTGCTGCCCCAAATATTTCAGAAACCTTTATCCAGTGCAATGCATGTCTACTGCACTTTAACAACTGCAACCCACCCCCCTGATTTAGCCAAAAGCCCTATTACTACCATGTTTCCCCAAAAATAAGACAGGGTCTTATTTTCTTTTGATCCCCAAAATAAGCACTTGGCCTTATTTTTGGGGAGGTCTTATTATTTTTGAAGTGCAGGAGGCAGCAAGCATGGTCACCTCAGGGCTACTGCTGTGTTGCAAAATTTTCGGGGAGGGCTTATTTTAGCACATGCGCTCAAAAGCTTATTATGTGGGGAGGTCTTATTTTCAAGTAAACAGAGTAACCAGTACCAGAAGGCCAGTAGAAACAAAAGTTAGACACTGCATCATGAAAAATATATTGTTGAGATGCCCATGGTTTGTCTGGCTACATATTATCTCTTTCTTTGGGACAAAACCTTGTCTTTATTTATATATGAACAGAATGTGGCAATGGGTACTAATCTGACATTGTGGTTTCTGTGGCCTGTGATTATTTACTTTCCAGTGACAAGAGAGAGATTATTAAAACGTATCAAAATGTTTATACAGCCAGACAGTCTAGAGATTACGCCTGGAGTTTTCTCTTGTTCATCCCATGACGCTGTTATCTGTATTTATATCTATATCTAATTATATTAAACAATTTTTTTATAAAGTTAAAGAAGAAAAGTAGAAAAGAAAGCAAGATAAATAAATATTATTTAATAAATAAAACACACTTCTCTTTCTCAGTCTCTCTTTCTCCCTTCTTTTTGAAGAGCAGAGTACATGAGATTGTCAATAAAGAAATTAATTTATTTTCATTAACATTGCAAAACCAATTCCTAAATTTGCTTCAATAATCTGATGGTTCCCAATGGAACAAAGATACTGGAAGTAATTAGCTCTTTCCAAATGCAAATACCAGATGCTGCAAAGAGTTAAATCTCCCCAGCCCTATACTAATCTGATAAACTAGGTAATGGGCTGAGACAAAGACCAGGAAAATCCAATGCCCAAGCATGAATAGGAAAATTGCTCTTCCAGGTGTGGTTTTAAAAAAACAACTCCATTTTGTCCTTTTGGCCTCTTTTCCCTTGAGGGGATCTGTTGCTTCTCCCCCACCACATGCTTGCAATTTACCTTTTAAAAGTGTTTCGTTCTTTTAAATGAATGATACCTTGTCTCATTTGACCATAAATGTATAATTAGAACTTATTGCAACCTCTGTGCTATACATTTGCTGTAGCTATGTAAACTTGGGAGGAAATACTGTGACTATATATATATCTCATTCAGCTTTTAGCAGGGGGGGGGGGCTTCAAAAATTATTAGCAAGGAGTTCTCTGCCCAGTTGCTGGGTGGGCGTAGACATGGTGGACATGGCCTAGTTGGCCTTCTGCACCATAGCGGGGGGTGATTTTGCTCTCCTCGGGCTCTGGAGGCATTCCTCAAGCCTCCAGGAGGACGAAAATGACCTCCCCAGGCTCCAGACCCCCCAGGCTCCAGAGATCCTCTGGAGGCCGGAAATAGGCCTGTTTTTGGCCTTCCCGAACTTCCAGTAGGCCCATTTTTCATCCTCCCTGAGCCTCCACATGCATTCTGCACTTACCTGCATCCAAAACAATCCACGTGGGGACTTCTGGGAGGGGAGAGGCAGGGCCAGCCAGGAGTAGTATTTGGGGTTTTTCCAAATTGCACAGAATCTTAGGTAGAGGTTCTCCCCAACCACTGTGAACCCCCAGCAGCCCACCCATGGTTATTAGTAGTAACTAATAAGAAGTCTATTGCAGTTACAAGATTGAATAAAAAGAAGGAAGTATGGAATAAATGAACTCATCTTAAATATGGCATGAGAGTTGGCACTAAACCTTAATGATAACTCTATTAAGAAACAATTTATATAAACTGTTTAGTACCAAGCAGAGAGGCACTGAAATCTATTTATTTCTAAATATGCCTGCTTAGCAATACATTGTAGATGAGCTGTATTCAAGTATTGCCATAGAGGAATATCCAGATAATATTTATAAATAGGTTTATTGATGTAAAGCTGTTTGTGTACCTTTTTCCTTTCTTTTCCCTTAGATAATAATCTGGCAAGCACTAAGGCATTTTGGAATTTAGATCTTGATATTTTGATTGATAATGATTAGATGATTGCAGAGGAGTGCTAAGATAATTTTTATACTGTCTTTGGAATTTAATGTTTTGGGGTTTGTTTGTTTGTTTGTAGTTTGCCCAATTGGTGTCCATCTATAGATCCTTGGGAGCAGAGAAATTTCCTCTGATTGAGCAAACCTTTTATCCAAATCACAAGGAAATGGTAAGAGCAAACAATAAACATAAATTTCTATTCCTTTTGCATAGCAATGCATTGTAGATGAGACCGCTATAATAATCCATGGGTCCATTTTATCTGTGTACCATCCTCTTGTTTTATCTGTAGTGTCACTGGTTTTATGAGGACAAAGATGTCTACTTATATAAAATATTTGACTCCCTCTACAATGGGGAAAACATTCCCGGTGTTTTTAAAGTTACAGAAATTGAAATGAGAGATATTCTTTTTTCTGAAATACATTCGTTTTAGGCTGCTCAGATTTATACTCAAATTGTAAATTTTCATGTTCATGCAAAGCTTTGGTTTTCCATATATCTAATCTGTCATCTAGTTGGTTTTCCTTATATTCTGCCTTTGTTTTTGTTGTTTTAATAATGTTCTCCATTTTCACAGTCTGCAGCAATTTTTCGGTACTTTGGTTCACTTAGTCCTTCAAACTTTGCTTTTCTTCTTCTACAGTTTGATGCCTTGCAATAGCCCTCTGCTACCTATTCTTCTTGGCAGGTATAACCTGTTGACATCACTTCGTGACTGTAAACCATGGTACATATTCAAAGGTTTACATGTTTTCCAGTCTAAATTTTACATTCCAATTGATGATTCCAGCTGGATAGCATATCACTGGAACTGCCCATGTATTAATGGCTTTAATTATGTTTCCAGCATTTGGTTTTGATTTTAGTATTTTGCGGACCCTCCTGATGTATTCCTTTTGCTCTTTCATTTTTCCATTCAAGCCTTATCTGCTTCCAATATGCCTATGCATTTGTAACCATCATCCTTTGCTAATGCTTTCACAATGCTTCCATTTCCCAGTTCTATTCCTTCTTTTTTTTTTCATTTTTCCTCACTGCATGGAAAATATAGCACATTTTTCAAGTCCAAAGTTCATTCTGATATGACTACTGAACAGTTGGACTGTGTTGAGTATTGATTCAAGTTCTGTGGGATTTTTTGCATACAGTTTTAAGTCATTCATGTATAGTAGATGGTTTATCTTGCCATTTTGGCTTGAGATTTAGTATCCCAGTTTTGTGTTTCATATGATATCATAGGATAATTGTCAGTTGAATTAATGCAATGTTGAACAGTAGTGGCAAAAGTGAGTCCCCTTGGAAGATTCCTCTTATGATGTTGATTTCACCTATGTTCTACCCATTTGCATTTTTGCATGTTTGATTTCAAAAATGTACAAATATTTTTGCTGATTCCAAGTTTTCCAGACAGGCGTTAACCCAGCTCTGGGGTAGAGAGTCAAATGCCTTCTTCTAATTGATCCATGCCACATTCAAATCCATTTTTCTTCAACTTGCATTTTTAGTAACATGTTGTCAATGAGCAGCTGACTTTTTGTTCCTCTCTATTTTTTATAATTTTCTTTTTGTTCTACTAGATACGAGCTGTTTTCTATCAGATCATTGAATACTGAATTTGCCAGTATTCTTGTAAAAGGTTTGAACGTTGTTGGCAGACAAGTAATTGGGCAATAGTTGCTTGGTTCTGTGTCCTTTTTTGGATCTTTCATTGTCAAGTATGTTCGGATAGTTGTTAACCATTCTTCGCTTGTTGCATTTTGAAGCATTTCATCAAATTGAGTGGCCATGATGGAGACTGGTCAGGTGTTTTAGCCAGTATTCATGCAGTTCGTCCAGGCCAGGTGCACTCCAGTTCTTGACCTTCTTTGCTTGTTTTGCAACCATGTCTGTTATTATTACGCTATTTTCCATTTTCTTTCATGTTGTTTGTTGTTAAATATCTTTGATCCAGGAGGCAGTTTTGGTGTACTCCACTGGGTTTTCTCACAGTTCTTTCCAAAATTTCAAAGTTTTTTTTTTCATGGGTGAACATTAGTTTGGACTCAATTTTCATCAAGGGACTGTTAGAAGAGGTGTTGGTTTCTTGAAGATCTTATGGACATTTTCACAATATTGTTTTATTCGTCCTTTGTATCTTTCAATTTTCTTTGCTGTTGCTATTACACATTGTTCCATGATTTCCATTATTGTTTTTTTCCTTCAGGTTGTATTTTTTGTGTAAACTATTTTTCAGCTTTTCGTTCTTTAGTTTTTCTTCTTTCAAGTACTGTAAATTGCTGACACCCCCTCGTAGTTTTTTAATTTTATTTTCAAGTCGAATATTCCACTTTGGTGTTCCAGTGGGTTTCTTTTCTGGCATTTTATAACCCAATTCTGCAGTTATAATGGCAGCTGTGCTATACATTAGTTCCATGATGGAGAACCTATGGCATGTGTGCCCAAAGTGGCATGCGAAGCCATGTCACCCAGTTTGTTGGCCTTGCCTGTTTGTCTTCCAAGTTTCTGGTGCACATGAACGTGTGACAATCAGCTGTCCTTTGATGCGCAGCAGTGCCAAAAACCAACCTGCGTATGCACGCTGGCCAGCCCATTGTTGTGTGCGCATGTGGACCAGACCTGGAAGTTCTTCCGGTGTGATCCTTTTGCGGCGCAGCAGTGCTGAAAACCAGCCTGTGCATTGCGGGCTGTACAGCTGATCATCAGCTAGAACCTGGAGCGTGGCCGCGATGAGTGTACACAACATTTCCTTGTGACCTTTTTGACACTCAGTGCCAAAAAGATTCGCCATCACTGCATTAGTTGGTTGGTTTCATATAGTGTGCTGGATGGGATGGAAGTTAAAATGTTGTTCATGGCAGCTAACAGATTTTTCACTTGTTTGCTATGCACTGCCAAATGGTAGGTAGCCTTTTTCTTTCTATGTTTTCTTTGATGTGGTTTTCAATTTTTTTTCTTTCAGCATGTTTGCTAGATCACTTAGCTCTACACTTTCGAGTTGTTGCACAGGAGGATCTTCATCCTGTATGTTGGTTTCTTCCACTGGCTGGTCAGCTTGTTCCGGTGTTGGAACAGTTTCTTCAGCTTATTCATCATTACTTGTTGTTTTCTTTTTAGCCAATATTTCTAGATGTTGCATTTTCACATCTGTGAAAACTTTATTATGGATGATAAAACATATTTGATCCATTAGTCTTTGTTCAGTTATGTCACTTTCTGGGTGTTTTTCCTTCCATGGTTTCATCATTCTTTTTTGAAATCTCCTGGCTATTGGTTCTGCCTGGTAGTGTTATTTGATGGTTTCACAATTTTCTTCAGTTGTTCCAGTTTAGCACTTTTGTTCTAGTCGCTTTGCAGTTGCATGCCCTGGTTCCCTAGCAGTAACAACTGAGTCCTGTAGCCCCTTTTTTGACAGATGTCCAGGAGACATAGCTTGTTGACCTGGACAATGACAAACTCCGGTGTGGAATTTCGTTGGTTTCTTCTCATCATTAGTGATGGTAGATGCCTGGGTTGGTTCATGGTGACTAAGCCATTACTTATCAAAAGACAGTAATCCCATAACCGTAGGAATCCCATCGGATAGCTGTCCAGGCCCACCCATGGCAGCCTAACTTCTGTATATTTGTGACAAAGAGATTTGATACATGTGTATGCAAGCTTAAATCCTTGCCATTTAGCAATGATTTCTACTTGCAGTGATGCATGAATTAAAGATTACAATGGAAAAGATTATATCAAAAACAAATTATATCATAAGATTAACATTCTTTTAGGAGTACATTTTCAACATTAACAGTTAGGACATAAAGTTCTGACTAGAAACCATTACTAATAGCACATGAAATAAGATTCCATTTCTTCAAGGTATTTTAAAATATAGAATACTGTCAAAATTAGCTGGTATAGGAAATGTCTGGAAGCAGCATATATTGTCTTGTTCTGATCTTCATAAAAAATTGGTGTCTAATTGCATTAAACAACAACCTTTTAATTCAAACTTTAGTACTAATAAAGAAAATATTTGTAGTTCAGGATTGACTCCTCAACTTTATTATAATAGTGCCATTAGAAAGGTGGCTTTTGGTGTCCTCCCCTTTTTATTTAGGTTGTTTATTAATATTTTCTATACATATACAGCAGTGGTGGGTTTCAATTTTTTTTACTGCCAGTTCTGTGGGCATGGCTTGTTTGGTGGGCATGGCTTGTTGGTCATGTGGTGGTGGGCGTGGCTTGTTGGATATATGACTGGTTAGTCATGTGACTGGGTAGGCATGGCCAACTTCACATCACTCACGTCAAGGGTGCCTTGTATGGCCTCTCCTTGCCTCAAAGGCCTCAACAAGATACAATTTCTCTGAACATCCAAAATATATTATTTAATCCTATGTATATATACCATATGTGTACATACATTATATAGTATAGAATGTGTATAGGCACATCCATAGATACATTATCTACCATATATATTGTATGTGTATGTACACACACACACACACACACACACACACACACACACGGCCAGTTACAACATCCCACACAGTCATGTGACTGAGGTTTTCTGTTTTTTTTTCCAGTTTCCAACAATTCCTTCTGGTTAAAAATGGGGGAAATGGACTTGTTTAACAACCACAGTGTTCACTTAATGACCACAAGTTCACTCATCGACCACAAGGTTCACTTAAACAGGTCTCTCTCCCTCTCTCTTTCTCTCTCTCATTCTCTCTTTCTCCATCTCTCTCTGTTTCTCATTTCTCTCTTTCTCCCCCTCTCTCATTCTCTCTTTCTCCATCTGTCTCTCTCTGTTTCTTATTTCTCTCTCCCTCTCTCTTTCATGTGTGTGTATGCACAGGCGCAAGCCTGATAGAGGACATAGCCATCCACTTCCCTGGCACAGGAAGGGCTTTGAGACCACGTTGTGGCCCCGAGCACCAACATCACAACTGTCCCTTCCTCTCCCCCACTCTTGTTGCACTCACACTCTCTTCTTCTTCCACCCCACCCCCCCAAGGTTGCCATTTCCCTTGCCCTGGGGGCTTGAGACTTTCCCCTCTCCTCTTTCCTGAGATGCAGGCTTTAACAGAGGGGAAGTGAAAGCGACCAAACAGATCACATGCTCCCAGAGCAGCAGCTGCTTGCCTTGCCCTGATAGATCACCTTTTTTTCTCTCTTCACCTTGTTTTTTTTAACTTTAGAGGCAGCGTTTACAGGCATAGCCCACACTCACATATGGCGCCTTTCCCCCTATTATATCGTATTTTTTAATTATTTCCCTTAGAATACTTTAAAAAAGAAAATGACTATAGAAATAAGCAATCTTTTTTCATTCAGAGGTAGTGTTTTGGTTTAAAACAGTATTATTTTAATCATTTCAAATTTTGCAATGTATTAACAGGAGTTGAAATTACAATTTTAATAAACCTCACTTTTTAAAAAAGGATTCTTTCTTAGAAAACAGGGATGTTTCCATACAAATTTACTGAAATAACTGTTGAAAGCAAATACTGCCAGGAATGTCATTTTTATATTAATCTGGATGCCAATTCTATGTATTCTGTGTTTTAATTATACTGCACAATTTGCTTTTGATTCTAAGGAAGAGACAATTATTGGAAGTTCAAAAGATCATTAAGCAGGCAACATGGAATAAACATCCTGTTTCTCCCAAAATTTATATTATTTATATTATTTATGGTTCACTGATATCAGCTAAGTATTTCACTAAGGAAGAGCATTGTGCCAACTGCAAGTTCCTTCACTGCCCTTGAAACAGGCAGAATTATCTGCTTGATGTCCACAGTTCTTCTTCTCTTTCAGCCAATCCGTCCATAGGCATTCATGGGGTTTTGTGGTGGAACAAGGTTCTGTACGGCAGTGAGTAATCTAGGAGCAGAAAATTACACGAGTATCCCATTATAAAATCATATTTTATAATGTATAAACACTTATTTATCATTTATCAGTGTAAAAATTCTGACAATTTGTAAATTGTTTCCAAAATCCACATATGCCTTGAAATGAGACAAGGATGGAACTTTGGGCAATTATAAATACACATATTCTAACATTATGAATTATTTCAACATAGAAATTTATATAAATACAAAATATTATTTCGATACTTTTTTCTGAACATACAGACTATATTTTGTACCAACATGACTTTTATGCATCTAAAAGACTGTTATGCATCACCTTGATATCTACAATGTATACATTAAGTGCAGAAAACCATCTTGGAATTATGCAGCATAGATATTTTGCTGTTAGTCTTTCATATCTTAATGTTAAGAGAAGTGATGGTCTTGATGATACAGTTTTAGAGTGCCAATAGAAGAGTGGTTTCTGAGCCTGGTTATTTTCCTGCAGACATTTAATTACCCAACTCAGACAGTGAACAACAGCCTAATCAAGGAACTATCAAGAAAGTAAAAAACGCTCTCACCAAAACTGATAGAGCAAGTCACTGTATTTAAACAGAGAACAGAGGGCACCCTGAAGAGATTTCTTAGTTCAATAATGAAACATCTGCAAAAAAAAATCAATCAAGCTCATAGACCCACTCTGTACTTCACAGGTACAGTTGTCTAGTGAAAGGATTGTTTAAAAAAAAATAACAGAAATAATTTGGTAGCATAAGGGCTAAATAAAATAAGGGTAAGATTACTTATTGTATGACTAGCATAAAAAATTATGTGCTTGTCATCTTAATAGATATTATTAATTACACTTTCTGTAAAAAATTAAATATATTCAGTGCTACAGGTTAAAGATGTATTTATCCATTCTGCATTGATTAGGGAAGTTTCAAGAGACATTGAATTCAAGCATACACAATTGGAGACATAGTTCATTAAATCTTACCACAGGTATATCTAGATCATAAAAATTAGGTTGGTGGTCAAGGAAGACAAGGATCTTAAAATATGTATTAATGACCACATGATCCAGTAAATCCATTTGAAAAGTTAAGTAGTAATATTAACAGTAATAAGTTTTCAACATGATAATTATAAGGTATTATTTTTATACACATAATTAGTATATCCTAACTGCTAAAGACCCATCAGAAAACAGCCCAACGAAAGAATCTCTGAGACCACTCCCACACACACAGACAAGCAAGACACCAGAATATGAACTGACAGCAAACAGAACTCCTTATTAGCACTGATGATGTTACCTAGTTAGGGTAATGAAACTTCTGCAAGAAAACAAGCAAGCTCGGAGAGCACCAAGGAACTCTCACTTACAACTAGTCATTTGCAAAATGTTTAGAGGTTAAAAAGTTTTGACTTCAGACTACCCTATTTTATCATTAGAACTTCTTTTCCTGGTAGTTTTGTAATTGGTACCTTCAAATAATATGCTCTCCCAACCTTTATTTTAAGGCAAAGTAACCTTTTGAATCACTTTTGCTAGATCTCTGCAGTTAGCAAAGTTTGCAGGGAGATCTTACATTGGTTTTCTAATAGTAAATAACTACTAAAGGGACATATGACACAGTTGAGAAAATTGTTCCAAAGCTCAGTGAAATAGGTATAGAAAACAGTTGCAGATATTACAACATAGCTAGAAGGACTACCAACCCAAGACAGATTGCTTTAGTATTTGGATGTACCATTTAGATAAGGTAGGTTAAAGCTTATGCATTTTAACAAATCTGCTTTATTCTATTTACATTCCTTACATATACGTACATGCATACATACATGCATACATACATGCATACATACATACATACATACATACATACATACATTTACATTATAGGTATATTATTATATTTATTGCTTATATATGTGTTGCTGCACAACTGATATAATAATAGTAGATTATATTCCAATCTAATTGTTATACTTACTGTACAGTCACAGCCCTTTTGATAGTTGTTTTTTAGATTTATCTTTTGAGAATCGGTAACTTCATGCCATTTTTTAATAAAATCGCATAAATAAAGTATAAGCATTCCATTATTTGACAAATTACCTGAAGTAAAGAAAATATTGAAATGAGGGACTCAGACACTCTCATGGCCAAAGACATAATCCACAGGCACTAAATCAATCACATTGTCTAGTAGAATATATAACCTGTTATAGGTTCAGAAAAAATTATGATGATTTAAATTTATGTATCACCAACACCTACAAACCTTGTCCAGTTTTCTCTCTCCCCCTCCTTTATTTTTAAATTATTGGAGGGGAAGGGAAATAAAAAGTATTGTTTTATTTTAATTTATTCAAGGAGGTGGGTCCACATATCTTGTAATAGGAGTGATGCTCATTTGCTCTTATAATTTACTTCTACATGCTACATACAGAGAGAGGAAGGGAGGGAGGTGGGAGAGGAAGAGAGAGTGAATAATTATTTTCTAGAAATGTTTACATTTTTTAACAGAAATGTCACTAATAGCTATAAGGCTCAAATGTTGATATTGTCTGACTTTGACAATTGACTTTAATATACTATACCTGAAATAAGATACTGTTTCTGCTTCATTCCGACTTCTAAATCTACCCCGCAGGCTGCTGATGAAATAGCTGTAAAAACATACTTGACCTCTTTCACCATTTCAAAACCTTTAAACATCTATTAGGAAAAAGAAAATTCTAAATAAGCCTGCATGAAACGGTTCAACATTATGCTGTGGAATATTAACATTTGCACTACTTAGCTTCCCACCTTCTCTATTGCGCTTGGTGTATCTCTGTACAAGAGAGCATGGGGAAAGTGGCTTGTTTGATTGTTGTTGCCAGGGGGTGGGGTTATTGTTTTTACTCTTTATATAGTGGTTTTTTTTAGTTTTTATAAGCAACAAATACTGTGAACACCCATGAATGAATTAGATTATCACATTAATTATAATACCATGGACAGCCAAAAAAATAGAAAATGGATAATTGAACAAGCCTCTGCAAGATCTCAATCAAAGCACAAATAATGAAGCTGAAGTTACCCTACTATGGACACATTATGTGAAAATCCGGTCCCCTGAATAAGGCTCTATTGCTGGGAAAGATGGAAGGAAAGACAAGGGGATGATCAATAGAAAAGTAGAGAAATTTTTTAAAATAAATAATAGTCAATGTCTTGATTTAAAGTTATTTATCATTCAAAATAGTACTTCCTAACCTGGCATGGTAAATCATAATACTAAATGTTTTCTCACTAGAATCTTGCTGATAGGATTCTTTTAAAATATGAATATATGACTTTCATGTTTATTTCTAAAGTTAAAATCTAAAGTGGGTAGGCATGTTCCAGATCCATTAAACCCTGCCATCTTGTGGGTCCTTGGAAATATACATTTTCCATTATACTCCCTGCCCTATGTAACGCCTTCTCCCTAGAGATCCAAGAGGCCCCTATCATTTTATCCTTTCAGAGGGCATTCAAAACGTTGCTCTTCCCCCAAGCTCCAAGCTAAGGCAAGGTGAAGCTAAGATGAGAGTTGGCCTCAATATCATTGTGGCTCCAGGTTTTCCTGCTTTTTAGTTTTATCATAGTTGGTTTATGATTCTATAACTCTTTCATTGGTTGTAAGCTACCCAGAATTGGTTTTAATAAGGGCAGTTACGCAAATGTTATAAATAAATATATAAATAAAATTGTATGGAAAAACATCAAACAAAAATGTTTTTTTTTAAAACACAGGGACAAAATCCTTTCTGAAGAGAAGTCAGCACTTTGAACTGGGATCAGAAATGAAAGGGCAGGTATTTTAAATCAAAACAGATTAGTACATACAAATCCATTTTAGAAAGCTGCTGTTTTCTATAGTACATTAGGTACCTTCATTATATTTATTTAATCTGGAAATAGCAACCCATGAATAGAGTTGGCTTTGTTTTCATCTTCCAGAGGCAAACATAGGCCTCATTCTTCCAAACTAGGGGGTAGGGTGGAGTATGAACTCCAGCTACTATCACTTAGGAATACAACTTGGGTAGCCTTGTTGGAGAAAATAATCCTTCCAGTAAGGGGAAACTATACAAGCAGGAATAACCAGTTTGGCTTTTTGATTGTTGCAAATCAGAACTGCACTTGGAGTAAGAAAAAAAAAGGTCACTAAGGGTGGCAGTAAACAGTGATATAAACAGAAGAAAATGTGAGGTGTTATTCCTGTTTCTTTGAAAGGAAAAAATGTCATTTAAGAATGTATTCATGCCATTAGGAGAAGATGGCCTCTAGTGTAAAAATTTAGTATATTTGTTGATGTAATAATCTCTTAGTTCCTACTTGAAATAACACTGACAATTATTTAATTTATTTTAAGATTTCTAGAATGTTGAGAAAGATTGTGCCTTATATAACTTCCTCTTTACAAAAAAACCTACTCACTATACTATACCCAATTCCAAGAAAGCAGTCAAAAAAAATTAACAGCCAATATAGTCAAGACTCGGAGAATCAACAGTAGTTACTAAATGTGAAAGAAACAGGATCCTTTCTTTAGCAAACGTACAGAACAGATAGCAATAGTGATAGCACTTTATTGTGCTTTATTGTGCTCTCTAAGCAGTTTACAGAGTCAGCATATTGCCTTCATCAATCTAGGCCCCCGTTTTACCAACCTTGGAACAATGGAAGGCTAAATCAACCCTGAGCCGGTGAGAATTGAACTACTGGCAGTTGGCAGAAATAACTTGCAATACTGCATTCTAACCACTGTGCCACTACAGCTGTTGATGATGTCATATCTTACCAATGTGTTTTAAGGTTATTAATATATTTTAATTACCTTACAGATCATCCTGGTAGAAAATCTGGCAATATGACATGAAATTAAAGTTGATATTATGTTCAGAAAAGAATTATTACTTTTTTATCTCTTAACTTTATTGTTAGATATTATATCTCTTAAAGTATACTATGCTTTTGTTCCTCTTGTCTCTTAAGGATTCTTCATATTTCTGTAATGCTGCTATTTTTCCATACAACACAAAATCTGTTCATAATAAAATGGAATCTTATTTGAAAATGTTTGGAATAATGTTTGGAATTATCCAAGTTTTGTTTCTGACACACATATTTGTAATTACGTTTACATTGTTTTCAAATTCACCGTTATTTATCCTGACTATGAATGAGATGCTATTTTTCTCCCTTAGCTACTATGTAACTAAAGGTTTGACTCAGAAATGGGTTACAGTTGAAGAGGAAACTGAGTTTCCCACTGATTAATTAACAGTCTTGTTGGATCTCTCTTGGCTTTTGCTAGAGTTAAACATCTTTTGCACATGGGTAACATTTGTTTGCAGCTGCACAGGACCGTTTTGTTCCAATAATTTCTAAAGGTCAGTCTGTACAGGAGAATCTAATTCCCAATCCTTGATCTGCCAGCATTATTGCAGAGTTGCAGGTTAGCGTAAAGGATGAAAGTATAAATCATGTAAGAGGATAGCCACTATAGTGAGCAGATGAGATGCTTTCAAAGTCTTTGTTGTTTTGGGTCTTTGGAAAGAGATGTAATTTTTAATGAAAAGCTAAAGAGAATGGGGAGAGCCATTATTGCCATTATTAGCTAATAAGTGAGGCAATTCTGCTCACAGACCAGGAAACACCTTTCAATGGTGGCCATTGAGAGCTGCAGATGTGGATTACAAGAACACCAATACTATTTAATTAAATAGTAAAATAGTGAGAAGAGCCTGTTTACTTCCTGCTTTGTTTCAGTTCTGAAATGGAAGACTTGCATGAGCACTATCTATCTTACAAGTGTCTTTACTTCCTATTGAAGCATTGGTTGTAATGTCAATAGAATGGAACAAAACAAATTTTAGTCTCCTAAATGGATGTCTTTTTTCCTGCCATTTAAACCTCAGAAGAGACAAAAAGTTTTAGATACCTTTGTTTGCTTGATTTCATACTGGATCATTTCTTCAGAAGAAGGTGAATCTTTAACCACTGTTTTACTCAGTATGTTTGCAAGAATCACTGAAATAAAATGAAACATTATTGGAAAATATTGGGTGGAAAAAAAAACTGTCTTTCCCCCTAAACATCAGTAATGTGAAAGCAATTATTTATTTTATTTAAATGATTTACATCCTGTCTTTCAGGATACAAATTTTACCAAATTAGCTTACGTGCTATGGTAATAAACAGACACAAATCAAGAATAGTTTTCAAAAACTAAAAAGAACTTTGTTCCTTGTCACAGCATTGACATTGGTAGCATTGGCTCTCTGAAAAAGGGGAGGAAAGAAATGCTATAGCACAGAGGTTTCCAACCTTGGCAACTTTAGGAATTGTTGGCTGAAGAATTCTGGGAGTTGAAGTCCACAACTCTTAAAGTTTCCAATATTGAAAAACACAGTACCAACTATCCTCAAAGATAAATTAAGAAAAATGATATAATATGCAGGTACAAGGAGTCCTTGACTTATGAACACAATTGTGACCAGACTTTTTGTGGCTAAGGAAGGTAGTTGTCAAGTGAGTCATGCCTGATTTCCTGAACTGTATCTGTCATGTTTGTTAAATGAATCACACAGTTGTTAACGGAGTCCAGCTTCTCCCATTGATTTTGCTTGTCAGAAGCCAAGCCAAATTACAAGTGGCAATCACAAGTGGGAAAATTACAAGTGGCAATCACCTGACCCCAACATGCTGCAACCATCATAAATACATGCTAGTTTCCAAGCTCCTGAATTTTTATCACTTTTGACCATTACTAGCTGCAGTGCTAGTATGTGCAAGAACTGGTCATAATATTGAAACATTCCCTTTTGAAATATTTTGAGTTTGAGATTTTGGCACAACCATGAGAGAGATGATTCACTGTAAATTAGAGGATCAAGCATATTTATTCTTGGATCAAAAGTTTTATGATACAGGAAGTTGTAACTTTGAATGTTCACTAAAGAAATGGTTGTAAATTGAGGGCTACCTGTAAGCATTACCTGCAGTAATAACCATTTAACTTTCCTTAATGTCAGCTTTTGAAACATAAATGTGCATTCTTTCACAAATGCTATATTCCTAGTTATAGTTATATTAGTCATACAAGTAGTCCTTGACTTACAATGATTCATTTAGTGACTGTTCAAACTTATAACAGCACTGCAAAAAGTGATTTATGACCATTTTTCACACTTACAGCATCCCCATGGTCATGTGATCAAAATTCAGCCACTTGGCAACTGGCAACTGGCTCATATTTATGATAGTTACAGTGTCCTGGGGCCATGTGATCCCTTTTTTGTGACCTTCTGACAAGCAAAGCCAATGGGGAAACCAGATTCACTAATTCAACAACTGTAGAAAGAAAGGTTGTAAAATGGGGCAAAACTCACTTAACATGTTTCAACATAAATTTTGGGCTCAATCACAGTCGTAAATTGTGGGTTACCTGTGCCATATCATACCACACTGGATTGGATTGGATTTATTACATTTATATGCCGCCCTTTTCCCTGAGGGGACTCAGGGCGGCTTACAACAATAAAGGAAAG